CCCATCCACGGTTACGACTGATCGTGGTGCCCAGTTTGAGTCGGCTCTCTTCCAAACGCTACTCAATTTCCTTGGCTGCACACGCATTCGGACGACAGCCTACCACCCAGCTGCCAACGGTATGGTGGAACGTTTCCATCGCTAGCTAAAGACCGCCCTGCGTGCCGTAGAAGACCCAGGAAACTGGTCGGACAACCTTCCTCTTGCACTCCTCGGCATCCGCGCAGCTCTGAAGTCGGATCTGGGCTGTAGCGCAGCTTAATTGGTTTTCGGCACTACCCTCCGACTGCCAGGCGAGATGATCACCCCAACCTCTCGTGGAGCCGACGAGACTCCTGACAATCTTGTGCACCGTTTGCGACAATTTATGCGCTCGCTTTCCCCGGTTCCACCTCGAGCTCCAATGACTGAGTCTTATGTCGAAAAAGACTTGGACAAATGTACTCATGTGTTCGTCTGGTGTGACCGTGTGCGCCAGCCGCTGGAATCACCATATGAAGGACCGTTCCGCGTGCTCGCGCGCAACACCAAGACCTTCCGAATTCTTCGCAATGACAAGGAGGACGTGGTCAGTGTCGATCGGGTCAAGGCTGCTGTTGCGGAGGAGCCGCCGGACCTGTCACAAGGACAAACATGTGCTGACCCCCTAACCCCTGTTCCTCCATCTTCCCTATCCCCTACTCGTTCACCCTGCCCACTGCCTTGCCCTTCCCCTCCCTTGCCCTCTACCCCTCCGTCCCGCATACTTCCTCTCCCTACATGTCAACAGCATCCAACTGCAACACCATCGTCCACCACAGCACGCAGTCAACCCTCTTCGACTGTACCTCCTGCATACATAACTCGCAGTGGCCGTCACGTTCATTTTCCTGATCGTTTAGTTACCCATTTTTTCTAGTCTTGTGCATATCCTCCGGCGCCGTATCCCGTCGCCCTCCGGTCTAGAAGAAGGGTACTGTGGTGAGGTACCTGACTAATTTACCTTTGACAATTTAGTCCCATTTCCTTTGACCGCATTGCTTGTTTGAATGTGACGAGAAACGACACACCTGTACAACCCGCCGTGCTAGCGTGCTCTGCTGTGGTATTCTGTTGTCAGTTTACTTAACGTTCAAAAACCTCTATATTATTCACTGCTCCGACTTACTTGATGCATTTAAGGCTAGGGGCTCGTGAGATATAACTCGTTAGTTCGTGAGAACATTACGATTTACGACACTCCTCCAGGAACTTCATTGTTGCTTTATTGAGTATGGTTTCCATTATTTTACAGCAAAGGCAGGTGTGGCTCTCAGGCTGACAGTTGTCAGCATTAGTGTGGGCCCCACCCTTGCACAGCAGTGTATGTGCGTATCCCTGCCAGCACCAGCCCCGCCTAGCCCCGCCTGGCCCCCCCAATAATGGCGGGGCTAGAGGGGGCCATGAGGGGGCTAGGCGGGGCTGTGGAGGGGGCTGTGGCGGGGCATGCAACGCGATAGCCCCGCCTAGCCCCGCCAGCGAAAAAAAAATGCGCAGGGGACGCCACATCCCAGCCCACTTTTGGCACCACTTTAAAATATCGTCCTGTATACCGAGTCCCCTGAGGCGCAGTGCCTCACTGTTCCCACATGTTACATGTCGAAACTCACCCTGCGTACGTAGAGTACTACGGTATTACATAGTACTCACAGTGACCCCGCCGTACATGTACCCACTTATCAGCAGCCAATATCAAATACACGCGACGCAAATTCATGTGAGTGAGTTATTTATTGTATAAACGAAAAAGGAATCGGAAAATATGTACAATCATAATAAATGTCAGTGCCAGTATATACATGGACTTCAACATATGTTATGTCATTCAGTTGGGCGTTCCAGAAGTCCCCGCATCGACGGCTGGTTCCTATAATTGAAGAAAAACAATTGTTTGGAAGACACATGGTCGACGGAAGGGAAGTAATACTTTAAAATTTAAATGACAATTTTCACACTAATTAAGTTCACAGTAGCAGCATGAATAATTAACCGTAAATATGTAAATTTCATATAATGGTACTTACCGTCTCTTCAGATGGAGGCAGTGTGGGGCAACGTGTATCATCGCTAGTCCCTCCAATTGCCTCCCGGCGTTCAGCCCGGCCGCCATACCGGTCCCTCGATCCATGAAACCAATCAATGACAGTCTTGCGAACCATTTCGTGGCCGCAATCACCAAAGATACGGTTCAAGCGAATGGCATCTGAAGTGTTAACAAATGAGGAAAACTTACCACATAGGAGTGCATATAATGGACTACCGACAAAGGATTGTTTTCCCACTGAGCCACTCCAACAGTAGTCACGGCAAAGGGGTGGTCCTAGCAATTTACTGAGGATATTCCTCACAAACTCGTTGTTACGCCCGCCAACTGAAACAAGTTGTTTCATCTATAACTCGTGGAGAGTAAATAAAGCTGCATATTTACATACCACTTCTTTCCGAAAATCGGCATCACGGTTTAGCTTCCCTTCGAAGTCTTTGTAGGCGTCCTTCGTGCATAGCGGCAAGGGCAGTGCGGGAGGCCTTTGACCGACAAGGACGGTGGAGGCATGTATTTGCCCAAGTTTTTCAACCATGAGGGCGCAATGTTGTCGAAATTCCTCATGATGGACCGTCTGATTATGGACTAATTTGTCTAATTTTTTACTAAACAAATCTAATCCAACGGTATACAACATGTCCTTACCGCACAGATTTCAATTCCCTTTGTATCGATTTTAATATTTCACTCTGCGCCACAGAAGCATCCTTTTCCGTTTGCAGTCTGAAATGGATAATAGATACAACCTGCTTACTGAAGTGAGGGAACTACTGAAGGTGAAAACCTGCCCCATCCGGCCGAGGAAGTAGGTATGTTTTCTTCAAGTCTTGGCCTACAAACCATCAGACTTACTGCAATTTACTGAAGTATGGGTGGTGGCGACGGCCATCTGGCGGCCTTACAGGCTGTCGTTCCGCTATGTTCTCGTCCTCATCATCCTCCGAATCAGAGGTTAATCTGCGGACAAATCTACAAAAAATTTTCATTTACAAGTAAAACCTACTTCTTTCTAAAGCCTCGACCCAACTCCGTGGGCTCCGAAAAGGAGAGGTCCGACGTGTCCTCGGCCCTATGTACCAGCCGCCGGGCCGCATCCAGAGTCAGGTTGTCTTTTAAACTCCTGACAGGATATACTTTCGTCCCACTCGGCGGTGGCTCATTCCTTTCGAGAAGAATGTTTCGTCGTCTGCCATTTTTCAGCCACATAACGCAGTTCTTATCATAGAACCACGCCTTGGCTACGACGTCGACCGACTTGCCATTGATGAACTCAACAACGGAGTACATCTTACACTTGCATTTTACCAGTCATTTAGCAATAGCGTCCGTGGGTCCTTAGGTACTTCCGGATGGAAATGCCGTAACATATTAAGTAACTTCTTTGTATTAGACAAAGGCATTTGCACTTCCAGGGCGTATTCTTTCAAGGCCTCCAGAAAGGACTTGCCTCCAACTGCGTTTGTGTCGTCCATGTCTTCCACGGACTCTACACCCATTATTCGTTTACACGCTCATAATACCTACCAGCGGAAGTCTCAGAGTTCAGTATAGGCACTTCTCGTTCGGGGGATTGATTGCCAACTGCCGTCGACGTTGATGGAACCTCAGGCTCAGGCTCTTCAGTCGCCTCATAGTATGCCTTCATCTGGCGCTTAATGCGCCTGTATATGGTGCTCCGGTGATAGCCAGAGTGATTACGCTTCATAATTGCTTTGGATATTCAGTAAGAAACGATAAGCAATTTGTATAAGTGGACTACGAACACCAAGGCTAAATAGTACATACATAGACATACAAGTCCACTACTTGAACTGGCTGGTGAGTAGATACCCAAACAATTAGCATAATATACATAAATTAAATAAGACAGATATCAAGAGCATGAAAGTAGCATTGGTTGACTCACGATATTATCTGCAACCGATTGTCAAATATACGAATTAATAACACACACAGATTGTAAACCGGTGGACAAATAAGAGTTTACGCAATGAGAGACTTAAACAAAACCTCAATATATTGTGCTCATCCGCAGCTACATTCAGTGGGCGTAAACGGATGCATTCTCCATGATTTATAAGCCAATTTTGATAAATTAGCTCCTTTAAATTCCAAAGAAGGTACAATAAGTGGTGCTTTTGGAACATATCTTTCGATGCAAATACGCTTAAAAATGCTCCAATGCAGAGGGAGCTCTGGCCCCACCCAGCCCCTTCCAGCCCCGCCTATGAAGGAGCCATGTGCTGGCAGGCGGGGCTCTGGCCCCACCCAGCCCCTTCCAGCCCCGCCTATGAAGGGGCCATGTGCTGGCAGGGATATTTCCAGTGAGAAATAGGAAATACGAGACGTTAGTATTACCCGGTATCTCGGAGCACAATTTATTATCGAATTAAACGTACGAAGATGGCATATTATGCCGCATCTGAAAATCCGGATTCCTCCATTCCCTCCACGTCGTTCGTACTAGAGCAGCCACCGGGACGGCAAATACCCAAACTAATCCCATAAGTTTCCACGGGTAGGTATTTCAGGTCTGCTAGTTATTGTAGGGTGTGGAATCTGTAAAGGCAGCGGAAAGTTTGAAAGCAGCTAAAGACGAATATTTTCGTTCAGGTTTGCATGAATTCGGCTCGAAGGCGCAGATGCCTTTTTCGACAACATACAGGTTATTTGTAATGCTGCAGCCACATCATGCAGGGGCTTCTAAGGACCGTAGGATGCTATTGTAAATGCTCCGCACTTACGTTAGCAGGCAACTAAAGATCGGGATGTATATTTACGAGGTCCCTGGAAGTGGTCTGCTGGAACAGGTGGGCCGTCGGCAGGCAAAGAGGTATGAAAGTATTCAAAGGATATGGCTTATGTCTCCGTCCACTCCTTGGTCGTTTTAGCCATTCGGTAATCGAGTGACCGTTGGTTGTTGGCGTCTTCTTTGCTTGCGTCAAGTCCGGACCATTGGATGACTTTCAGGCTGACTGCATTCGGGAGCTAAAGGCATACGGAGGGCATACTGAAGTTCGTCCTGGTCAATGTTATCTGCGACGCACCTGTCCGCTCTTACGTCGGACAATTGAAAACCCATAATGTCTACTACGAATACGACAGTCACGTTTTGCCTAATAGGTAATCGTAATCACCGCAGGTGCTGTCATACTGACATTCTCACTTCAGACCGCATGACGTTTTCGGGGTACACTGACTGCCTGTGAGACGACAGGCTGTTCCGGTTGTGATGTTAAGCCCTGTACCACAAAGGCGAATCGCCATTTGAGGATTTACCTATCGATATGGTTCTCCCCTTTACAGTCGATTACATGCAACTGGCGTGCACTGGAAGTCATGCGGAAGTTGTTGCATTTGTGGTGACTGGGAGCCAACAAGTTGTCCACCTCAGTGAGCGTCACCACTAAGAAATGCAGTCACGTGTTTGCCTGTGGGATTTTCCCTCAAGTGCAGACCCCTTGACTGGTTGGAATTTTGGAAGGCTGCAGAATATGGCCAATTTTTACTCCATACCGGGCCGGTAGTTTTGCCTTTCGTTCTTGATGAAATTCGTTATCTAAATTCGTTACAGTCTTCCGTCGCAATTTTCATTTTTATCGTCCCATTTTGCATGTAACCCGCAGTGATTTGCCCAACGTACGTTAAATTATTTTGTTTCTAAATTTTTTGAACTATTTGGTCTCACTGATATAATATGCAATATTCACGGCCTTGTCCAGTTACAAGATGACATCAATCGTTTCAGAGTCTTCGTCAACTTTTTGGCTTTTCCTTTAAAGTATTTTTTGAAAACCGTCCGCATGACCTTGTGGGGCCTATTAATTTAGCCGAACAGGTGTAAAGGCGATTATAGGAAAAACGCCTGCTTAAATTGCCAACAAGCCCAGTGCCAATGGACAACGATGAAGGAGTTGCACGGCCATTGCAGTTACCCCAAGTATCCCTCGCCATTTTCCACAGGGGTACGTCTTTTCCACTGAGTCGCCTGACAGTGTCGTCCTTCATGAGATAATCCATGCGTGCTGATATCTGTTTCGACTACATAAATCACATAACGCCCCTTTTTTAGCTAAAAAGAATTGTTTGCAACATTTAATTCTTCTTCCTCCCTGCCCATTTTTAAAGATCCTATTTCAGTTTACCTTTCTTAACTGCAGCCTTATCAGACAGTCTTTGCAGATACTTTAATAAATTAACAAATTGTTCTACTAAGGATTCTTGGGGTCCTGTCATAGCAAGTAGAAAGAAATATTCCCACGAACTCTGGAACAGGTAGAGAGAACCTGTTAAGTATTCATTTCGTGCTTAAAGAATAAGCAGTCTCATAAGAAAAATGTTCCGCGAACAGTGAAAAAACTCGTTTTTCGAATAAAAAAATGGATGTAACTGTATTAATCTTTAAGGAAAAATTGTCGCTCATGAAGGAATAATTGTGTGGATAAGGCAGAACTATCCTGTATGTTTTAGTATACAACGGATTCTAAACGGACATCGTCAGGGCAAAAAAAATGTCACCCATGGAAGAGTGGCTATGCTGTCCGGAGAGGACTGGTCTGCATGTGGTACTGCATAAGGCGTTCGAAACAGACATCGTCAAGGCAGAACTCGTAAACCAGATGAGAGTATTCGCTGTAAAGGGGCGAGACGAGGGGAACCCAGGCGCGATCGGTCACAGTCTGCTTTGAGGCCA